TTTTTTTTTTTTTTTTTTTTTTTTTAAGTTTATCTGAGTTTATGCGAGCAGTCAATGTGAGGTCACCTATTATATTTCTTACTTATGCGGGCTTAGCCCGCACTGCGTGCACCACGGACACTTAGCTAGTATTATATTATTAACAAACTGAGGTCAGGAATCCCTCAACAATACAACCCGGAAAGAACAAATCGAGCTTTTGGGAGCGAATCCCGCTCAATATCAGGTGTTGGGATATAAGTCGAGGAACATAAATGGTCGAACCAAAACCGCTGCCCTGACAATCTGCAACCCTCAAACCAATAAAACCATGCCACTAGGGTCAATAACGTCGCACGATTCAAAAGCGATGCCCATTATCATTGAGCTGACCTGCCCAAGGTAATTCAGAATTGTATTATTGCACTCATCTGCTACCAAAGGCGTCGTTAGACACTCCTTACGAGTTCCTTGACCACACAAATTTTTCCTTGTGGCTTGTAAGGGAATTTGGCGGCATTGTTCCACACATCCTTGGGGACGTCCCCTGAGGACATTTCCTTGTGGTCTGCCCGCGACCATTTTCATATGGAGGGTCTGCCTCAAGGGTGTCGGTGATACAGCGTCTGGTGTCCGTATGGAGACGACGTGGTCCAGCGACATCCGACGAAAAAGGGCATGACGCAGGCAAAAAAAAATAAAATAGAAGAAGGGGACCTCTACGTTTGAAATTCAAAATTTGAAGTACAACTACTATGGTGACGACGACGATGTTCGGCAAGAAGCGCGCAGACAGTGCAGGGCTGAATCGGCCTTAGCGGTGGCGTCACGTCTGCCCACCTCCCGGTCCGTGTACGTGCGTGCACCAGGTGGTCCATCACCGTAGAGCTTCTCCTCCACACCGTCCGCGCTGTGACACGCTGTTCCGCCAGGGGGACGACATTCACGGAAATGCGGCAACTTCTCAGACCTCTCCTCGGGGGGTGAGCGAGTTATGTCTCTGGGGTGCGAGGATTGAGACGGCAACGGGGAGACGTCATCCCTGTGGAGGTGGTGACGATGGAAGGCGGCGAAGAGAGTGGACGTGCGTTGTTGACACTGCCTGAGCGGGCAGTCGTGGCGACAACCGTGTCAACCGTTATTCTTTGTTGCCAACAGGAAAGGTCGTTGGGATGAATGAAGGAGAAGTTGTGTGCGCGTAGAAGAAGGACGCTGGTGCAAGCTGCGGATGACGGCCCCGACTACGTGGCAAGTTCGGAGGCTGCCATTGAGCTGTGCTACACGTTGGGTTGCGGCGTCATTCCACGAGCGACACCGAGGTGGTGGATCAAACGTAGGATGAGGCGAACATGGGAAGACCTTCGACAATGTGACGATGCCACGGATGACTACTTCAACGAGAAGCAGCATAGCACCGAGGAGCAGCGGAGGGATCACTAGAAGCAGCACAACGATGAGGAGCAGCAGAGGGAGCGTGCGGTACAGGTCGGCCATGAACTGCACGGTGGAGAGGGCAATAATAAGCACATGACGGCGGAGAAGGCAAGAGTCTTATCGGACGTGCAGCATGTGACGACATGCATGGGAATACGATGCATGTGAAGAAACCTCTTCTGTGGATGGAGTGAAGGTGCCCCTGGGGAATTTTTTTTTTCCGACTGTTGATGCTGGCCGAAAACACCGCCGCCGCCCGATGGAGGCCCACCGCCAATAGTAGCCGTTTGGGGGCGTTGGGGGACTACGCATACGTTCCTCGAGCACGCAAGACCGCATGATGCCGGTCGGAAACGATGACGCCACCCAATGGAGGCCCACCGCCAACAGTAGCCGTTGGGGGACGTTGCGGGACTACGCAGACGTTGGAGGGCAGGGATGTCTGTGCTAACGCCGCTGGACCACATCTGGACCACCCAAGAACCAAAACTCTGGGAGTGTCTAACGACGCCCAACTGACCTACTTTTGGTAGGCCAGTTGGTAATATGCACTGTTTGAGGCGAAACGAGGAGCTGTTATCTGGGCACGGCCTTCAAGGCACAGGAGGCCTGGGGAATACGGGTAGTACCGGAGCTGGATTCCCTTGCACTGCGAAGAGCTGCACGTGTTGCTGCACGCGTAGCAGTGAAGTCCAAGGAAAACTGTGTTGGCGGGCTGACCTGGCGGGGCGTTATCCTATGCTACCTATAGCGAAACAAAGGGTCGTCGATTGGTTCATGAGCAAGGCTGCGTGGGGCAGCGGGGTCTCGGCTGTTGGGTCTGCTGCTGCACGTGTAGCAGTGAAAGGAAAACTGTGTTGGCGGGCTGACCTGGCGGAGCGTTATCCTGCAGCAAAACAAGAGGTAGTCGATTGCTTGACGAGCAGGGCGACGTGGGCCAGAGGTTTCTCGCCTGTTGGATCTGATCCTCTGGAACCCGGAGGAAGGGAGCGAAGATCGTGGCTATGGCGGCCATTGCCCGCATGGCTGCCGCGTGTGGGCGGCACGCGGGGGCGGCATCTCTCGCAACGGCCACGAGTAAGTCGCGGCCCGCCAATGCCTCCGGTCGGAGGGCTTTGGCCCTGTCGTCGTCCTCGTGCTGCTGTTCGCCAGTCTCGCGTTTCCCGGCAAGAGAGGCCTTAGCCTCGATGGCTATGAAAACCCGCTCCTCGCAGCTGTCGCTAGGGTTCCACAAGAGTTCTAGTCTCGGCTTCGCGGGTACGGCCCGTTTGGGATTTTCTCGGGGTGTAGTGATGGGAGGCAGACCGGTTGGGGGGGATCAAGTTGCGCGGCCGTGTCGTCGGTCTCGCCGGTCGCCCAGAGATGGAGATGGCGTCGCCGCTCCAGCCACAGCCGTAGCAGCAGCAGGGTACAAGCTGAAGACCCACAAGGCGTCGGCGAAGCGGTTCAGGGTTACGGGCAGTGGGAAGATTCAGAGGAGGAGAGCTGGAAAGCAGCATTTGCTGATGAGGAAGACGACAAAGAGGAGGAAGAGGTTGTCGAAGATGTCGCTGGTGAAGATTTGCGATAGCGAAAACATAACGAAGGCGCTTCCGTACCTGAAGGTCGCAAAGTCAAAATAAATTTTGTTATTATGAATGATGCTTTCTTAATTACGAATGACCATGACAACAGGAGTTCTTGCCCTCGTTTGTCTTACTACCTCTCTGCTTTGATGCATTTGATGTACCCTCTACCTATCTTTTCCCTTGCCCTCTTCCTTCCTTGGCCTGCTCTCCTCCCGTCCGGTGCTCTCCGCCAAACCAGTAATCCATCCGTCATCCCTTTTGCCTGTTGACATGGTTCACCGCCCGCCCCCCCCCTCCCCCCCCCCCCCCCCCCCCCCCCGATAAAAAAACAGACGCACCGACCACGCTATCGGGGAGAAGTCGGTTGTGTCATCGGAGGCGTGTTCGGTCTTAAGGTGGAAAGAAACAAGGAAGAAGGCGCCCAGCGCCGGGGGAACGAGGCGCCCCCGCCGGGGGGGAAGAAGGGGACCCAGGTCTGTGGGAAGAAGGCGCACAGTCCCGGGGGGAGAAGGCGCACAGTCCCGGGGGTGAAAGGCCCACAGACCTCAGGGGAGCACTTGCCCGACCTTCACCACTCTCAACCTGTGGCACGTGTTACCAGCTGATGAATGGCTTCCATTTGGGACCCCATCCCATAGAATTTGGGAAAGAAGGGGGGACAAACAGTGAGCTCGGTTGAATGAGAGAAGAGGGTGGGGGCGAGAGCGAAGATAAGAGAGGGACCTTGCGCTTGCCCGACCTTCTTTTGTAGTCACCGCAGTTTTCAGTTTCTTTGCTGAAAAAATTGTACCTGGCATGTTTTTTCTTCTTTTTACGCAATTTTTCCACAGGCTCTCTTTGCAAACGAAACGTTGTACGTCTTCGCATTTACGCCGTTTTTGGCTTTGACTGGTCGGCTCCTGTTCTTGGCGGCGAACGTCTCTACTGTCGTGCACGCGTCTGGTGGTCTGCTGGCCTGCCAAAAGTGGCTACTGCGCGGAAAGCCTTCCGTGCTGCTATATTTTCGCTTGTTGTCTTTCGTTCGGCCCACCCCACCCCCCGCTTTCCTTCTATCTCTACCTTCACCTCTACCTCTACCTCTACCTCCACCTCCACCTCTCGGCTCAAATCTGAGAAATGGCATCTTACTGTATTACTTTACTTTCTTTTCGTGTACGTTTCTGAAACCACTAGTACCTTTGCCGCTTGGGAAAATAGCGGGCCTCGGGTAGGCGTCCGACCTTTTCAGAGGCCGAAACGAAACGACGGCCGCCGATCAGATTTATCAATGGCAATCGTCGTCGAGCCCGACCTCCGAAAATTCAGGAGTTTGGGAAAACTGGCAGTTTTCCCTATTTTCCCACGCGGGAAAGGTACTACCTCTACCTCTACCTCCACCTCTCTACCTCTACCTCCACCCCTCGGCTCAAATCTGAGAAATGGCATCTTACTGTATTACTTCACTTTTTTTCGTGTACGTTTCTGAATGAACTGTGAGAATCATGTTTCATGTTTCTTGGCGATGAGCTATCTGTTCGTCTTTTTTCTTTTGGTGACTCGATTCATTTCAATTGACAGGCGAAGTATTTAGAATTCCGTTGCAATGCTGCGAAAAAAACAACAACATGAAAACATGAACTTCGGAGTTTGGTGGCTAAATACAGCGCAATCAAATCGTAAGACGAGATCATGAAAAGCATGCTACGTAATAGTACTTTCTTTCCTAAGCTTATTTATTGGTTTGATAAGCACTCCTTTTTACGATTATTTGTATATATTTTTAGATTCTCCAATTGTGGATCATAATGAAACAAGTTTTTTTGAAATACTATTATACAAAATTATAAGTCGACGTAGTAAAATACTGTAAAGCATAACTGGAGATCCTTGGGACAACCCAAACAACCCCCCATTGAGATGCACACAAAGTCTGAAAGTTGTAGTAGTGAGATAGAGTGGCAGGGGGGAAGCAAACAGGTGGTTGTTGAAGGTTTTAACTTGTGGAAATTTATCTGCCGAGGTGGTTTAGGCCTGCCCACTGACCGTGTTTACGAATAAGAAAAATTGCATGTAGGGGGGGATAAGGGAGGGACACTGGGGTCGGTGGGTAGTAGCAGCCGTCGTTTTCTGTTAAGACGGTTTTCTTCCATCTTTCATGGGTCGTCGTCGCCTGACCGTCGTCGACATGTCCCTCCCTTTCTCTGTCTCTCCCCACTGAACTTGTTGACAAATAAGAAAAAGTGCATGTAGGCTATAAGGGAGACTGGGGTGAGTGGGTAGTAGTAGAAGCCGTCGTTTTCTGTAAGATGGTTTTCTTCCATCTTTCGTGGATCGCCGCCTAACCGTCGTCAGCATGTCCCTCCCCCCGTTCTGTCTCTTCTTGATACATAGAAGATTAGAATGGCCCCTGCGCAAGTTTGACGCATACAAATCGAGAAATGGTCCCAAAATATAAGAAAAAATAAGAAAAAGAAAGACACAACCGCAGTATCAACAGACCGAAAGGTGGAGTGCTATCTCATCACGCACGCTGTTGAACTGCTCTGCTGAACAGCTTTGCTCTCGCTGAATTGGCATCCTCCTAGTAAAATATATCTTCATGGTTCTCATCGGGGGCTGGTAACATGCTTTCCAGACGACTCGCCCTCTTTCTACGTCGCTATTTGATCAGGTTGTCTCTTGTGCAGGTTGCTAGCGAAGCTCTTGCGTGGTGCTCCCATGTCCTGCTTCTTACGAAGTGCGCGATAGGCGCCATCCTGGTGCGGTACAGATGTTAGACTGTGGTCTTGCATGGTCCTGCCCCCCTCAATGCCGCAACCATGCCACCCGCCAGCAAGGACAAGGAACGATGATGCACAGTCTGGGACCGTCTGGCGGCTGAAGTCTTTTTCTTCTGAATTGAACGTGCCGTTCATCGAATATCCCAACTGCTCTTGGCGATCTCTCCACGCCGCGTGTCCATTGGGCAGTTACTCCCCACCTCCCGCGCATCCATTCTTGCCTTCGTCCCCTCCCCTCCCCTCCCCTCCCCTTCCTCCCTCCTTCTTGACGTCGTGAGGGCTTTCCCTCTTGCCGCCTTGCCCCAGTTTTGGCAAGTATATATCTCGCTACTCAGTGATTCCTGTTAGACGTCTGCAGCCATGACGCCAGCAGCTTGTGCGTGGTCCGATGCGTCTCTCAGCACGTGCCAATCCGAAGTAGACCGTCTGGGTGAGAGCACGATGGAGCAGAGTCCTCCTGGTGTCTCTGGGAGTCCTGTGCACGTACTGGGGAAGGTGAAGAATAGGTTGACATCCAATCTGCGTCAGAAGAATGAGTTGGGAGAAACCCTAAACCATTGACTACGCTGTCACGCTCTCTCATGTTAGGGAAAAGTGGTTTTGATGGAGATGGGAGATCACGTTCTGCTCCGTTTGGCTGTGCCTGAACACTTGCTCGTCTATTACGTTACGTTGTCTGGAACACAGCGGTGCCCAGCTGCCTTACTGTGTCTCGCTGCAGGCCTGCCGGTAGTTTCAGAAAGGTGGAGAGAGATTCTGCGAACTGCCTGCATGGCCGTCCAGGTGGAAGAACTGGCAATTGCCTGCATATTGTCCTGGGCAACCCCTGAATACCTCTGGGCTTGCGGTGCAAAGAAATGTCGAACGAGGAGGGCTGGTTTGGTCGAAAAACATGCAAACAAAAAAACAGGCGAGGATAGCAAGGTGATAGAAGAGGTGAGAGCTGAGGGGAAAGTAAAGGTAGAAAAAGTCTAGACAGACAGGCAGACAGTGTATGATGCTGAGTCGCTGCTGGATAGCTTGCATTTTAATTGCGAAGTTGTCTGTGCGGGGGGAGTCTCTGAGATAAAGTGAGGGTGGAGCCAATCCAAGTGAAAGCTGTTTCATCAGGGTGGAGGACTCTGTACACAACATCGCTCCATTATTATTTAACAAAGGTCAGTATGGGACACTTTTGAAACACCTGCTGCAGAGGGTGCATGTGCCTCATTAGAATCCTCGCCCAGAACCGAGACTGTGTTGCAGTCGTCAGTGAGGATGAACCGATCTTCCTGCGGGACCGTTGTTTGCGGATTCTGTCGGGGCATATACATTGTACGCTCTCCGCAGGAGACTGTCCAATCCAGACACCACCCAGATCCATCGTCCTTCACAGTCTCAGAAGGAGTTTTTGAAAACCACCTGCCAGGAGGGATGAAAAGAGGATCGCAACTCCCACTTTCGTGCCCCTCGCTGGCACCCACACTTGGGAACCTCGCCACCAGGACAACTGCGATTTTTTTGGATTCTTTTTTGAAAACCAGCCGGAGCCTGTTAGAGGGGTTGATATTGGCAATCCCCTCTTGCGGGCCCCTCACTGGGTTGCTCCAGTCTATTGCTGGTGAGCTTCGGCTGCGGGATACCGGGTCCAGCGTCCCTTACGTTTCCATTTCTATGCTACCACCGGGGCCTTCACCCGGCTTCTGCTTAAAACTGTCTCACAGCCTCTTCAGCTAGCCCTTGCTGCCAGGTCGGCAGAATTGTCCTGAGCTCTGTCCACATCCCGTCGCAGGGCTCCCTCTGTAGAGGAGGCCTAATCGGGCCACCCAACCACTGCAGATCCACCAAGGATAGCCATGGGGTGGATACAGATCTGGACACTCCGAAAGGGGCCGCAGTGAGAGAGGAATTGCAACGAAACGTCAGTCCAGTCCTTGGAAACCATGTTGTAGTTTCTTTTCAATTCCTCTCCCTGCGGGCTGTCCCATTTAATGCCTGGTTATCTGCCCCCCCCCCCTCTGATCTCCCCCCAGCCGCTCTTCTGGAAAACGTTTTATTGTTTGCTGAATATCCTCCGTTGTTTGATAGATGTCCAATTGTGCTTTTTCACTTTTACCCAACGTTCTGTCAGATCCAGTTGAAGTTGTTGTTTCAGAGTTTCTGTTAATCCCCCCCCCCCCGGCCCCTTTCCATCTGCGCTCCTTCCATGTCGTATACGCATCTTCTCCACCAGAGGGCCCAAAGGACCGCTTTTCTTCCAGGATTGAACATGTTCTCTTCAAATACACAGTCCTGAGGAGGTTTTCATGCGTCACACAGTATGGCTCTCCAGTCCCACGGCCAGGTGCAGACGGCCCCTAGCGAGCGCCAGCTCGGGCACTGCAGGAATATGTGTTACACTGTTTCTGGTATCTTGTGTGATGGGAAACAGTTTGAAGCAGGATTTGCACCACTGCAGGAGTATGTGCAAGGCCTCGTTGTTCCAGGTTCGTGCGGCGGATAAGCCAGTCATGGGTTGGAAGGCATCAGTGCTCTCCTTGGCATTGCAAGGAGGCTATCTTGGCCGGTTTGGTCCTGGTCGCCATGATCCATCAGATAGGACTAAGGGCCTTGGCTCCGACATTCAGGTGGGCCATCCATCGATTCCTGACCTTTATCTTTCAGATTTATTTTCCGGTGCAGCAGTCTGTAGATTGCCTTCACCTCCCGATTGGCTAACTGTTTGTTCTTGTTTTTCTTTTTGTGTTGGTGTGCGTGGGACCAGCGCCAGTACACCCTGGTGGGGCAAAGGGCAAGTCTATCAGCGGCGTCTCTGTGAAGAAGGCCACCCATGTCTCCTTTTTCAGGAGCATGCTGATCGTCCAGATCCGGGATGGGTCGAACCACGTCATATTTCGAATCGAATAAATCGGAAAAGCCCTCTGCCCCATTCGAAAATAGATTCGAATGGTTCACTCCTTTGCATTCCTTGTCATATTCTACGTTGTGTGTGTGTGTGTGTGTGTGTGTGTGTGTGTGTGTGTGTGTGTGTGTGTGTGTGTGTGTGTGTGTGGAGAGAGAGAGAGAGAGAGAGAGAGAGAGAGAGAGAGAGAGAGAGGACAAGGGCCATTACACCATAGATTAGTCAACCC